CCCCCCCCCGCAGGATGAACCGACCATCTCTGACCTACGGCGAGGCTGTGCAGTACGGGATGGAAAACGTGCCGTGGCTGAGGCGACATTCGCAGTGGGGAAAGTAAGAAACATGCTCACCTGTTCTGCTCGGTGTTTCTTTAGATGCGTCAAGAAAACAAATTAATTTTAATATGTAAAACATGTAAAGATGTCAGATTTAGTCCCACAGGCGTAAGAAAAAAAACAAATAACAAAAAAAAACGTAAATTTTTTTTTTTAAGGAAAGGAAATTCTTTCAGACCTGTGAACCTCAAAGAATTAAAGATGTGATCAGAGAGACGTCGTCCTGTTCTGTGTTTTAACTTTTTCATCGTCTCGCTCAGGCGGACCGTCAACCTGTTCCTCATCATCACACAGCTGGGCTTCTGCTGTGTCTACTTCGTCTTCCTCAGTGACAACGTCAAGCAGGTCAACACACTCACATAATCAGATGCACTCACAGACTCACCGACATTCACAAACTCACACACACACTCACAGACACAGTTTAATTGTCCCTGTCAGCGTTACAGAGTGAGGTGTTTTTGTACCATGTGATTTTCACCTGTGGTGTTTATTGGGCTGATAACCACAGAGCTGCAGCCAGTGTGACCTCAGTGACCTCACAGATGTTTTAGTTTTGTTTAACTGATCTGAACTTCATAAATCAGTACGGATCATTTCTTCATAAAAAAAACCAAACAAGACTGACTCTGAAAGTTATAAAAACTAAAAGTGAAACTTTAGTTTAGCTTCTAGGATACTTTTAAAGTGAAAATGAAAGATTTAAAGATACATTCAAATAAAAATAAAAAAATGGAAAGCTGTAATAACTCCAGATCAAACCCCTGCATGCAGGTCAGCCACCCAGAAGGCTGTGCCATGTTACAACAAATTTTTGCAAAGTTTTGCACTCATGGAAAACCTGAAAAAGTTCTCCAGAAGTAATCTGTCCTATCAGGCCAAGCGTGAGGAGGCACGCTGAGCTTCATCCACCTGCCTCAGTTTAAAGAAAGTGCAGACAGACTGACTGTAGAGTAAACACATGATCTAATAATTTTATGGATGTTTGCATGAGTAAATATTTAATTATGTTCGGTTCATACTCCTGTGGTTTTGTCTTTACTGAGAGAATAGAAGACCATGAAACACACTGATATGGAGGAAAATCAGATTATTATCACTTATTTCAGCAGGGAGTGTGTGTGTGTGTGTGTGTGTGTGTGTGTGGTGATGGTACCACACAGTACTGACCCACACATACAGTTCTTACACACACTGGACATTCTGGACATTGTTTTCACTTCATTACTTAAATCACGCTGCTGTTATTGTGTATATATTTATTTATATTTCTTCATACATTCTTATATAGTTCTATATTGTGTATTTTGTTGTACAGTTATTTTATTTTCAACTTTAATTTATATATTTTATCTTATTCTCCCAGTTAAATTTACCCTTCATTCTAATTTGTGTTGTACAGTTATTTCATTTTTAACCTTAATTTATATTTTATTCCTTCCTAGTTAAATTTACCCTTTTTAATTTTTCATATTTATTTCCTATCTTATTCATAGCCTTTTCCTTTTTGTTTTCTTTAGGTCACGAGCAGTTGTCCAAGCATTTCACTACATATCGTACTGTGTATGACTGTGTACGTGACAAATAAAATTTGAATTTGGAAATGATGGCGATCAAGACAGGCTCAGTTTGTGTAGTTCAGTTTTTAGCCACTAGGGGGCGCCGCCTGCATGTATTTTGTGTCCGCTCATTTTTGCTGAAGCAGCAGTCAAACATCTGGTGGGCGGTGATTTTACTCAGAGATTCAGACTGACTCGGCTCAGTAAATACAGAGCCGTGTGTTGAAGAGCTGAGCACAAACATGACACAAACAGACCTGGAATATCCACAGTTTTCAACCTTCGGAGAACACAACACATTCCATTTCCAGGTGGACAAGCTCCATGCTCTTACTTTGAAAGACACGTGATATTTGCTCTGTTATTTATTTTCAGTGAGAATTTCGTATGATTTTATGTCTCAGAAAACCTGCACACACTGCCCGAGCTCCAGCTCTGATTGGTTTGAGCCTGCAGACGATCTCTATCCAGTCCTGGGTTGTAATCACTCCTTTGGTGTTTAAGACCTTTTTTAGCGGAATGAGCATCATCCTCTCTTTATCTGACCTGCCTTCACCAGGTGGTAGAAGCTGCCAACGCCACCACCATCAGCTGCCAGACGAACTACACCAACCAGACCCAGGTCCTGGTCCCGAGCTTTGACTCCCGCCTATACATGCTCTGCTTTCTGCCTGCCATCATCCTGCTGGTCTTTATCCGCAACCTGAAGTGCCTGGCCCCGTTCTCTCTGGGGGCCAATGTGGCCATGACGGCCAGTTTGTTCCTGATCTACTACTACTCACTCACGGTGAGCCGCAGGTTTCTCTCTGATTCGATTGCCTTCAGTCAAGGTTGTAGCCTCGTTTTTCACTCTCTGTGGTCTCATTAAGTTGTGACATTGAGCAGAAGCTTGTTTGTTACCTGGATAAGTAAGAGCTCCCTGCAGCAGCAGCGCGTGGTGGAGAAGGTTGTGCGTGCAGCCTGTGAGATGACTGTGGCTGATGGAACATCTGAGCAGCACATTTGGGGATAAGCAGAGCATAAAGGCCACTAGCAGCTTTGAAAACACTCTGGATCTTCTGCTGCTCGGTGGGACTTTTTCCTCTCGGCATGAGCTCTGATTTGAACACCAGGATGATGATGATGATGATAATAATAATGTACTTTTTTAATCACTTCAGATAGTTTTCAGGGTTTGGGCTCATCCTGCTGACCTTTTTTAATGAAATGCATCATCCAGTCAAAGTTTGCAGACAGAAGGTTAACTCGGTGCTCCTCTGCAGATACCTGCACACACACATGCTTTATAATAAATCATGCACAGGTAGTACATTTAGTGCTTAGGTGACCCTCCATCTCGCAGTAGAAAAAGAATCATTCATGTCCCAGACCAGAGTTTGAATTTTCAAAATAAGAGCCAAAAGATAAAGAAATAATGGCATGTGTCTGACACAGCTGGCCGAGCTGCTTGCGTGTAGCTCTTTGAGCGGATGCTCTCTTATTTGTATTGTTGTGAAGAACAGGGCTGTCGTGCAGATAACATTTAACACCTCACTCCATCTGTAATTTTTAAGTCTGCAGCAGTTCATTTTCATTGTGCAGCTTTTTCTCGGCTAATCATGTTAAGAGTAGCGAGGATGCGATTAGTTGAAGAACAGCTCTAACTGGCTGTGGATCTATTTTGTTTTGTTTCTCTACAGAACATCTCAAACCCCACTGACCTCCCAAAAGTTGGCAGAGCTAAAGACTACCCTCTCTTCTTCGGAACGGCCATCTTTGCCTTCGAAGGCATTGGAGTGGTGAGTGAGTGGCTGATGGTAACACATTCACGCATGTGCTGCCGAAAACTTTATGACTGTATCAATGTGAAACACCTGTGTGCATCGATTACGTGGATTATAAACGGCACTGTTATCTTCCCCTGCATTACCGTTGGATTTCTTTATGCAAATGAGGCATCATGCATCAGGCTGCTGTGGGTGGGTGGGGGTGGGGGGGCTGGAGATAGGAGAGCAGCAGGGCTCCAGAAAGAGGGGGATTACACCAGCACGTCCCACTGACCATTTTTAATAACAGAGTGTGGAATGTAAAGTCTGTGAATGATTTTACTCTGTCAAAATCCCCGTGTTCACCTACGTCACGCTCAGATGTGATAATACTGTTGACTGTGCAATTAATGCAGGTGCAACTTTGATATCACTATAAATATTTTCAGATTTACAGGCCCATATAACACAGAGACGGTGCTTTTTAATCGTGTCTTCATCAGTGCAGCACATATCACGTGTCACAGATCTGGAATCTGTGCAGCTGCGAGTGTCAGTGTGAGTCACCTGTCAGAGTAATAAAGTGCATTCTGGGTAAACTTTGAGGGCTCGTGTCAACATATGAAAGGTCTCCTGTTAGCTACATAGGCCAGGCTCACCTTCAAGCTGTGACTCCTTCAGTCATTTTCTAATACTGTCATATTTGAATTAAAAAGTGCCATATTTGGATGAGCAGGCGACCATATGCCACATGACTGAGAGCAGCCGGCTCGGGTTCGAGTCCAACCCGCGGCCCTTTGCCGCATGTTTCCCTCCACTTTCCGGTCAGTCTTCTCTGTATCTGTCGAAGACAGAAAAAGGCCAAAAAATATATTTTTTTTAAAGTGCCAGATTTGCACCCACCCTTGTGTACGCTCAGAGCTGGAAGGTATTCACAGTATGAAGCACAACGTGAGTCAAAATCAGTCGTCCGATTTCAGAGCGTTTAAAGTCCACCGCCGCTCACCGGTGACCATTGAAGCACACACGGTGTGTAACCCAGTGTTAATGTCACAAGTACTCATTACAGATACATTATTGATATGTTATTATTTCACTTTATTGATGTTTATTTAAGAACATTTGCCTCATTTTGACATTTTTCAAAGCATCGTATGACTCTCGCTAACATCTGCCCTGCAGACACGTGTGTTTCAGAGTTGGCCTTTTTCCTGTCCATGCAGTGAAGCTTGTCTTTATAATGATGAAGCCTGGCTGATAAGCTCAATTTTCCAAAAGCTCCATTTAATTCAGTTAAATCTGGTTTATAAAAAAGCAAAGCTTCCTGCAGACAATGGCGAGCTTTCAGGGCATCACAGTGTGAGCAGACACCACTGAGCCTTCACGTGTCACTGAAATGTCCCGCTAACAGCGTTTCTCTCTGCAGGTTCTGCCCCTGGAGAACAAGATGCAGAGGCCTCAGAGGTTCACCCAGGTTCTCTATTTGGGCATGGGCATCGTCACCTTCCTCTACATCAGCCTGGGAACCATAGGATACATGTGCTTTGGAGAGCACATCGGCGGCAGCATCACACTGAACCTACCTAACTGCTGGTGAGATACCGCCACAACGCCCAGGATTAGAAATCGAGTCGAGTCGGCATGTTTAAAAACATTTGTGCTGGTTAATGTCCTGCAGCACTCAGAGAATCACATAAGACACCACGGGATGGGTGGAGTCAGCTGTGCACTCAGATGACTCCACCCAAGAACATCTCCTCCTGTTGTGTCACTGCCTCAAACCTCCAGGAACACAAACTATTGTGTGTGTTTGTGGTGCAGGTGCGTCTCAATACACAAGTCCAAACCTCCTAAACTGAAGCACAGTGTGGAACGTCCAGACTCAGCAGATGCGATGTGCCGAAGAGCAAAGAGACTTAAATCTTCATTGTTTAGAAGAAAGGTGGCAGGATTGGGACCCAGTGTCTCATTAAAATATTAAAACCTGTTTTGCTGTGTTTTAGACCCATAGATAGTAGGGGTGCAACGATACTCGTATCGATATTGAACCGTTCGATACAGTGCTTTCGGTTCGGTACGCATATGTATCGAACAATACAAAATTTTTAATTTATTTTATCAACTTTCCTTCTGACGATGCTGTCTGTGTTGAGCGTTCAATGAATCTATGGCTGCACTGTCGAGCGCAGATTCATTGAGCGCAGGGCAAGCTAGCGAGACAGAAGTTAAGCTCTCCTTGCAACATGGCAAATTGAACCTCCCCCACCCTCATTCAGATCTGGCGTTTGGAACTATTTTGGTTTTCATGTGACGTATGACCCTGAAGGTAAGCGCAGTCATGGACTAAAGTAAAACAGTATGTTGGATGTGCCACGCAATGCTCAATTACATGTGGTGGGAACTAGTGTGTTAGCGCAGTTAGCTCGTTAACGTGTTGGCCGTGCACATTTACTCCGACAGCATCCTAGTGCAAAGACAAGTGGAAGCAGACAAAAACAACATGCATGCTACAAACTTTACCCGAGTCATTTAGACAGCCGTTAGCACATGATTCTCCTTATGGGGACCTGATATGTTTAATATGCTGCTGAGAATATAGCCCAGAAGAAGCGTATAGTATAGCTTTTATTTTGGAAAGAGCCATTTCTCTGTAATAAACTCTCTTTTCCAAAGATGAGTGATTTCCTCGATCAGATAGATTTATTTTTTATTACTTTGTTGTTTCAGCAACATTAAATTTAAAAACTGTACTTTTGAGTTAAAATATATATTTATAATTTTAATAAATGACAAATTAAAAAGGCATGAACATTTTTTTGTATCGAAAAAATATCGAACCGTGACACCAAAGTATCGAACCGAACTGAACCGTGAATTTTGTGTATCGTTGCACCCCTAATAGATAGATAGATACTCAGAGCTGATGCTTCACATCCACAGCTTTTTGTATTTGCATCAGGAAACCTGCAGACACTGCATGATGAATGAATCAGGAAGCCATGGATCTGAATGTGTTTACATTACTTTAGTAAGTCCAGGTGAGAGCTGCTGTTACTGGTTTCTCCTTCAGTTTCCTGGCTCTGTGCTCACATGCTGCACAAGCTCTAGAGCAGGTTATATCTGAGAGTAGGGGGCCAGTGAGAATCCAGTAACATCGAAGGTGGGAACATGCAGACAGCAGCAGTGTGCAAAAGTATGTGCCACCACTCATTTTCCCTCAGCGTTGAAATGACACATTTTGGCTTGTTGCCTCAATCGGGGGCATCAGGAGGACTCTGTCCTCTTGACCTCTGAATTTCACCGTGAAGGCGGAGACGTGCCAGTAGCCCCTACAAGCGTCATGCAGCAGCTCAGTGATGTAGAAAGTGAGCGGTGGTGGATTGACTGAGTCTCCAAAAGTGCAGAGCATGCTGAGATCAGAGTGACAGCTGCATCAGGTTTTAAATCAGTTTTATGGCTCTTATCTGGCTCAGGGGCACACAAGCTACCCCCTCTCTCCAGCGGGACACTGAGGAAATAAACACTCAACCTCAAAGGGTTTTTCTCTGCCTTGGTGAGAGTGGAAATCCTCTCCAGCTCCACCTACCTGCTCTTTAAACTGTCTGTAGGTGAGTGGCAGCCAATCAGAAGAAAGTTCACTCAAAGAGTGGGGAGGCGAAATGGCTTGTTTAAAACATAGCATTATTTTGAACTATGAGTCATGCAAAGCTACTCTAGGAGAATCTAGGAGTAAAAATAAGCAAATGAGCGGGATAGGTCACATTTTTCCACACATTACTTGACTCCTTCCACTCCTTCCTCCCCATTTTCCAGGATGTACCAGGTCGTGAAGCTCCTGTACTGCTTCGGGATCTTCATCACCTTCGCCCTGCAGTTCTATGTCCCAGCAGAAATCCTCATACCATCCATGGTGGCTTGCGTGCCAGATCAGTGGGACACCGCCATCGACCTACTGCTGCGTGCTGTCATGGTCATCTTCACGTGTAAGTACGAGCAGGTCTGCGGTGTCGGGCGGCGGGCTGTTAAATCTGCACACGATGTCAGGCTCAACTGCAACATGTTTCAGACCGAGAGCCGAGCCTTCTTATGTATGAATATAAATGGCACGCGTGTCAGCACGCACGATCGACTTTATGCTGTCACGGGATTTACAAAGGAACTCGTCCTCTTACTGTTATTTGTGCAATCAATTCTCAGACATGTGGGTTAAAGTGTCTGCTGTATGTTCGTGAAGGTTCTCACTCATCCAGGTCATCGTCATCCAAGGTGCTTGGAAAGAAAAGCATCTGGACAATTGGTGGAAACTCCCAGATTTGAGGTGTCCCCAAGAGGGTCATGGACCCTTCCTCTACCTAATCACACGACCCACCACTATATCCGCTGTATGTTTATTCTTCACATTGAGTCACAGCATGGGCTGATTTCCACTCCTCTGCTCAGATTTTCCTTCATGCATTTCTAATGTGAGCTCTCTGAGCAGAGTCGTGGTTTTTAAACACTGTCAGCATCATCTCAGCTACTGCTTGTGCTGGGAATCAATTTAAAGAAATCTAATTTCTGCCTTTGTTCTTTAGAGAACAAACCCAGACCAAAGACCCCGATCTGTTATAAGCAGTTTGGTACTTTCCCTTTCTCACCGTTTAACTGTCGTGACTGTCACCAAACCCCATCTGGGGATGCGAGGTCTTCCTCTGAGCTCTTCCCCCAGGAGGTATCAGACCAGGATGACTCCGGGCGAGCCAATCCAGGCAGGAGGAGCATCCTGGGTCTGGTGTGGGAATGCTTGCTTGTTTCTGTGTTCAACCTCTTTGATTCTGTTCTCTGTAGTCTTCAGACTGCAGAGCTTCACAGAGCAGCATGGCTTTAGGTTGATGTGAAATTGTCGTGTATCTTTAACAGCAGATGAAAGGTCTGCTTTTGGAGTTGCCATCAGCTCCGGCCCGTGTTAGTGGTGTGTGCTGACGCAGGAGAGCAGAGCGAGCGGTGTGGCTGCTCCTGAGTGTACTTCTGTGAGGCGCCTCCTTTATTGTATTTTTATTAGGCTTATTTCTGCAAAGAAAACTGAGTCTGCACCACAGCCAAGGCTCCGCTGACAAATGAGGCTCTTTAACAAGCCGTAATGAGGCAAACAGCACGTGTACAATCTGCTCCTCTCTTGTCTTTGTGCTTTTATCCAGAGCGGAGCTAAAAGGGGCAGCAGAGTAATTTACTCTTAGACATAGTAACAGAAGTGTCCCATTAGAAGGTCGCTGCTGCTGAGTTTTGCTCTTTAATCCCGTCAGTAACAGTCGTTTCAGCTGATTACCTGGACGTGGTTCTGGTTCCTGTGGAACTATTGACTCGAGCCCCTATGTGGCTAATCAGTTCCAGGTACTTCCACAGATGCAGAGAGTCCACAGTACCTGGAACATCCCTGTTTGTTTCTAATGAATTAGAGAGGATTAAAAAAACAGCAGACATACATGAAAAAGACTCATTTGTACTTGTTGAATGAACCTGCACACAAGGAGGTGACTGAGACTGTGAGCTCAGGATCTGTTGTAGTAGTAGTAGTAGTAGTAGTAGTAGTAGTAGTAGTAGCAGCAACTACTACTACTACTACTACTACTACTACTCCTGGACTAAATAAAAATCTAAAAATGTTCACAAGGAAAAGTTTGGCTGCAGTTCCTCTGGTGTCCAGCAGAGGCAGCAATGAGCCACTCCCATAGACTCCCGTGTTAAAAGAAACATGCTTACACGCTGGTACAGACTGTTTTGGTCTCTGTAGATAATTTCACCCTCATAACAGCTGTACAAGGCCTCTTTGACTGACAGGTGGCTGTAGCTGCTAGCTGTCTGCTAGGCTTCACCTCAGCTAACTGGAGTCCCTGGACTGGACATCTGGGACACGCGTTTGTGCTTTTAATGACATTATCTGACCAATAACATGGCTGCTCTAAGGTTACGGTACCGCCCAGGACATCTGAGTGCCTGTTTTAGGATTATGATTGGATGATTCTTAGCACTGACCAACTGTGGGTGCAGCTTTAGCTGATAAACACATCCTGTCTGGTCTCCCTCTGAGGTGGCGAGTGAAGGGACAACGAAGCCACGTGTCTCACATGCGTTCCCTCGCCTGATCCTCTCCCTCCTCCGGGTTTCCAGCAGTAGCCAACAGTTCCCCGTAATAGCCCCGCCAGGCTATTTATAGCTACAGTAGTCCTCCAATTGCAATCGATTCTCATCTGGCCATGACCGCTCATTCTCTAACTGTGTTGCAGGCTCGTGCCTGATTGTGTGCACCGCTGCTGAGTCACGCTGAAGTCAGCAGGGGGCACACTTCCACCTATTGAGGGATCATTATATTTACATTAAAGGCAGAGTAGTTCTTGAAAGTGGGGGTGTATTTATCCTTTCACAGACCTTACAGACTGGAAGCACAGAAACAGACTTTCTCTCCCTGCTGCTTAACTGGTAGTTAACGTCAACTACCAGCTGTTTATTGTTGGTCTCCTCCATCAGCTGCTCAACATCTGCCGGCTTCAAGGTTAGGATCAGGACACTGGATGATGATGAATCTTCACTGAAGTACAGACTGATCATTTTCATATTTATAACGGCCATTAAAGTAATCAATAAATACAGTTTCTGCATCCAACAATAAGACTGAGCCCTCTTGGGTCTGTTATGTTAAAAAGTGTGATGCTCAGGTGTGCTCTCCACACGGACTCTAAAGGTGACTCTAAAAGTACTGCAGAACTGTACCCAGGAGGAATCGGGGTAGAAGGTGATCCTGGTATCAGGTAAAAATGGACCTCTGACCTGTTGTATGATCATCTCCTGTAATGATGGGAGAGAATCATTAAAAGGCTCTATTATTTAAAAAATACTGAAACTGCGTGACAGCTGAGATGAGCTTCCTGCTCGCTGTTAGAGAAGCTTAAACATCTGGAAGAATGGCACATGGAGAATCCACGAACATCACTGCGGTAGTGCAGCAGGTAACCCATAAATCCAGCAGGCTTCACTGTCTGTAGAGGCGTCACATGTGGAGATGTTAATTTGATGGAAACGCTGGTCATGGGAGGAGCCTCAGGTCTTTGTAACGTGGGCGCTTTATCGGATTGTTTAAGATGAATACCGTTTCCTGCTCTCAGGTCATCCTCGCTGCTCTCCACATGAATGACTCCTCACTGTTGATCTTCATTTACTTCATTGCCTCTGAATTATGCAGATGGAATTTGCCTCACTCTGTCGGTTTCTGCACACACATCCCGCGCGTGCGCGCGCACCGGCTGTCTGCAGCTCGTTTGTCCTATGAGTGTAGCCACGCTCAGCAACGGGAGGAGAAATCAAAACACCCGAGCGTCCGGTGGGATTCTCTGCTGGATGCTGTGATAAAGGAGGGGGGGCTGCAGCAGGGACGGTGCTGCTACTGCGTGCACATGTGTGAGCAGGAGATTACTTTAGCTTTTGAATGTAAATACGAGATGAGACTGGGGCAGCACGCTGTTGTCTGTAGATGCTCTGAGGATGCCTCTGAGACTGTCTCCTGCTGTATTCTGTATTTTAGTGACTGATGTGTGTAGTGTGTGATTATACAGAGGTGCTGCATTGCTCTTCTAAAGTGGTTTAAATGGTTTGAAAACAAAGAAAGTCGGCCTTAAATTTTGATACTCGAGGAGAGCAGAGGTGAGTCACCTTCAGACTTGCGTCTCAGTCTTCGAAACGCTCGCTCTTTGCTGTTTTTACATTTGCAGCCATCTGTCTGCAGTGTGATCGGTCAAAGATGGAAAATGTCACAGGAAGTGATTTTGACTGATGTGCCAAATGTGTTTGGCGCTCTAAGAGCTGCTGGACAGCCAAGTCTCGCGTGCTTCCGCGTGAGCTCTCGGGCAGATTAGAGTTAAAAGTGGACGGCCTTGAGCAAACGCTCCCTCTCACTCTGCTGAGCGTCACTCTGACTTGCACTCCTGCACGAAAGGTCAGTTCATTTCAGCGCAGGCAGATTTCTTTTGAAGTGAGCACTCTATTCTAATTTAGTAGAGAGATGGCGGGCAAGCGCAGGAACTCAACGTAGCTGCGACTGCTGCTGGGGATCAGCGAGCCTCTGAGTGGCAGCAGTGGGAATGCTACACGACTTGGCCGTGTTCCTTACAGTCGATGCTGTTATGTTGCTGTGTCTCACATTGATTACCTGAAGGCCACATCTCGTTTGTTGCCGTTTGATCACATTAGAAATGCCAAAAAGCCACACACATGAGAAGAAGAGCCTCTGCTTTGGGACTGGAGATGAAGATGTGCATCGGCACTCTGCTGCGTCACATACCACTGTAAGCTTCAGCTTCCACTTTTCATTCTTAAAACAGGTTTCTAACATGTCTGAAGTCTGAGGAAGAAGCTGTGAGTGTTGTCTGCAAAGCAACAAAACATCTTCTTTAATAATACGAGGTTCTAAATAGTGTAGAAACGCTTCAGAGGTCGCGGGCTCTTTAAACGACTGCACCGAAGCTTAGTTTATTAACCTTGAGCAGGAACTTGTTTCCCACAATGAGCCATTAGAGCCCACTCTGATCCTCAATAAGCCAGACCGGCTCACTTCATTTGGACTGTAGCCTCGAGGAGCGAGCGCTATAACCGCCCCTTCTGTCAGAGTCTCAGAAAAAGCACGACTTTCTACATGATGAAGAACCGCGGCTGCAGGAACTGCACAACTGTAAGAAATACGTATGCAGAAAACTTTATTTAAAAAGTAAAACACAAGATTTTTGTTTGTTTACATCTCATCTCCGTTCTTTTTAAAAACAAAAACTTTTTTGTGCTCAGTTACTCCGGTGTAGTTTTTATTTCGGAGGCAAATAAAAGTCCAAAGTTTACACGCTTTGTCATGTATTCCAAAGCCATGGTGTGAGCCAGATTGGACTCTTTTTGCCTTGCCAGTTCTGGCCTCCGGGCCTTATGTTTGACAGCAGTCAGCAGTTCCTGGGTCTCAATCATGTCAAACTGGACCAGATGAATGGTTAAACTTGAAGTAAGTGTGTGTGTGTGTGTGTGTGTGTGTGTGTGGGGCTGTGACAGAAGCAGACGTTCCCTCTTCATTAACGGTCAGCTTCCTCGTTAACCCTCACCGCGTGGCCGTGTGTGCCGAGACTCGCCGTGGCGCTGAGCGTGCTTCCTTTGACTGAGTCACTTTGCCACAGGCTGCAGCTGAGCAGCTAGCATGTGCTGTTGAGCTGTTGATGGGAACGAGAGAGGACGTGTGGACGTCGCGTGAGCTTTCTCTTCTTCTTCTCTTTGTTGTTTCTTACAACGCTTTGGCACAGAGGTGGTGTGCCACTGGGACTTTGTGCTGCGTGTTGCCGGCTGTCGTATTTTTACCCTTTCACAAACATGATGTGTGCACACGTTCACCTTTTACGGATTCCTCTGGCCTTTGCTTCCTGCGCCTGTTTCGGCTCACCTGTGCCACGCTGTGACTCTGACAAACTGAGTCAAAGATCTGACATGGAGCAGCGTGTATTTTTAGAGGAAGTAACGTAGTCACGTGGAGAGGAAAAGCAGTGAAAGTGTCTTCAGAGGTTAATTAACTGAATTTAAAATGAAATGGAAATGTCCTTTTTCATTACTTCCATGTGAAAAGAGAATTTTCTAACTCAATCAAATTCAGATAGATTGGAAATGAGGTGCAGTCCATGACTGAGAACCACACTGGCATTAAACTCGTCTGGCTCCGGGCTGTGCAGCAGATTTGGGGACCCGGCTGCAGGCATGTGTTCCCACGTGGCCTCAAGAGCATTACTCAGATCCTGATGCGGGACGATAAGACCAGGAGGGTTCCAGCTTATCCCAAATGTGCTGGAAGGGGTTGAGGTCAGCGCTTTGGGCAGTCCAGTCAGCGTCTCCTTGCAGAGAGTGTTCACCCTCACATCATCACCGATCTCTGAGACAGGACCCAATCTGTCTCTGGTGCTGCCGGGCCGAAACATTTCAGACCACCGCAGGGAAAAAGACAAGCCGGGCTATAAATGAGAGGTCACGCTGGTTTATTCACAGCATGCAGGAAGCGGCATTAATACACATACAGTTTATGCAAAGATGAGAAACCGATAAATATTTAAACATCAGTGAAAAATCCACTTCACACTGCATGACTGAGTCACGTTCAACTCCAGCTATCAGGTGACCCCTCCCTCCTGTTGGCTGACATGAACGGTAAAACTGTTTTCATGTCACGGTGAACCGCGTCCGGTTGCTGCCAAAGGGAAGCACTTTGTTTTAGCGAGCGGCACAAGCGTTGAGTCTTTCCGCTTGTTTCTGGAAGTGTGGGGTGTAACGCTACCTGCTCACAGCACTTATCCACTAACCCAAACTATTCCTTGCATTTGTTTTTCCAAATCATGAAAGCTGCATGTGGTCAGGCGTCCACATGCTTTTGACCATATAGAGCTGCATCACTGCATCACTGCATCACTGAGCTCCCACTGTGAGATCGGAGAATACAGGTTTCACCTGATAATCGACCCTAAAGGTCACACATGAGAAATGATTCTGCACGTCGCACATTTTAACCAAACCATCGGCTCTCTGAGCTAAAAGAGACACAGCAAGCAGAGCTGGGCTGCAAGTAGAGAGGTCAGCCTGAGGATTTCTGTCTTTAGCACAGACCTCCTGCTGGGTGGGGAAGGTCAGGCTTGCCCTGCAACTCCATCCTCCTGCACTTCCACCCTCCTCTCCTCCACTTCTCATGCTTCAGAATGTTAGATTAAAATGCAGTGGATGTGTTTTTCCTGCAGATAAGCACGTCAACGGTCAGCCAGTCAGCGTCTCGGGCACCCCACACGTGTTGGTTGTTTTTCCCTCCCCATCGCCTGTTGTACTCTGTATCAGGGGTGTCATACATGTGGCCCGGAGGCCTGCTAAAGGGCCCATTGCATGGCTTTGCAGAGTGTGAAGGCTGCAGTGAAACAAATGAAGTACTTGGATTAGCCAGTAAAAATCTTTTCTGTTCCGGGTGTGTGAGGCAGGTGGAGGGATCCTATTGTATCCATGAGCGATGGGAGAGTTTGCCCCGGCGTCTGCAATGATGCAGACACTTTATCTGTCTGCTGAGATGAACAGAGGCCTGATCCAACAGAGTCCACACCTGTGGGGATGGGGTTAGGGGTCTGGGTAGAGGCTGAAGAGTAAGACTGGGATTAGAATGGGCTGAAATGAATTTCCTCATTAGGGTGGCTCACTACAGCATCTGAGGCAGGGGAGGGACTCTGACGTGCAGGCGGTGCACAGCCATGTTTGATGGTTCAGCATCTGGTTTCTGGGAACAGGCCTGTGGTAGACTCTCTGCTGGTCTGGGAGCAGCTCAGGATCTCTGCGGTAGTTGATGGATGAAAGCATAAATTACTGACTGTGGAAGGTATGTTGTAAAACTTCCTTTCACGTCTGTCAGTTTTACAGAGAGTGGGGTGATGAATCTGTTTCACTTGGTTTTATGTTTTCAGCCTTTTTAAAGGCCTTTGCTTGAATAGTAAATGGACTGGTAATTACATAGTGCTTTTCTACTCTGAGCACTCAAAGCGCTTTTATACAACTAATTCATTCACCCAATCACACCCATTCACTTTTTCTAAACTGTGAAGTGCTTACTGTCTAACATTATACACATTCACACTCCAATGGGTGCATCGGAGAGCAACATGGGGTTAGTATCTTGCCCAAGGATATTTGGGCCTTGGAGCCTGGGATCGAACCACCAACCTTCCGGTTAATAGCTGACCTGCTCTACCACCTGAGCTACAGTCAGGAAATACGAGCAAAATGTGGCATTTTTGCTGTTTGTTGTGGTGAATCTAAATGAGTTAGACACCATGATTTTCTTTTCTTTTTTTTTTTTTTTTTTTCCCCCCCCCTGCTGTGTGTCAAAGCCACTCATGGTGGGCCTGGGAGAGAACCCCGGTGCTGCACGAAAAAGGAACATGAAAGGCCACTTTGATTAGCCAAGTGAACAGGAAGTCCACTTCAGTGTGATTACAGGTAGCTTTGGCAGGTTCCCCAGCTCTCTGCGTCTGTGTCAGGCGCCCTCTCACTCATAACAGTTAACAGAGGTTGTGTTTGCCGGGCAGGACAGAGGTGTGTGTGTGTGTGTGTGTGTGTGTGTGTGAGAATTTCTTTCCTGTTTGTCATGCTTGTTTTCAGCTGTGCGCTGCGGGATGAGACACGAGCTTAAAAAAAAAAATTCACGACTTTTCCATGTCTGAAGCTGAAGTTTCAGTCCCGCCCTGAGGCTAGCACCGCGAGAAGGTGATGAGTTAATGGAGAAAAGGACGGAGCTGAAGACCTCGACTGTTGAAAGACGGGTGAATCAGGAGGGTCCTCAGTGTCTGTGATCAGATTGTAGGACACTGTGTATAAACTGCACTGTTGCTGAAGGTCTGCACTTGTGTCACATCTGGATTGTTAAGTTTAAAATCAGAGTTTCTGTGTTAAACCTGCTGCTGCTTTTAGAACAGGAGGGAATCATGTGAGACCGCATCAGAGCGTTTCCCTCTCCTCTCGCTGCTGCCTGCTGCTGTTGTCTGAGATTCATCACTTTTCCTTTTCAAACAACTGCATGGGATGATATTATAAAATGTTGGTGAATGTATATGTTTGAAATAAAAATGAACTGAACTGAACTTCTTAGAGCTCACATTTATACATGGAGCCGCATCCATCATCCCCTCCCTCACGGCTGCACGCCACAGAGCAGTGGTTTCCCACAACTGTCGTGTTTGCAGCTGCGGGCGAACGCCTCCGTGCACTCGCTGTAACCAGCCAGGTTGATGCTTATTAAACTGCTCTGGCAGGAAATCCAGCGGCTGCTCGAGGCCAACTCTGCGCTTAGAACAAACACTCAGGTGTATGTTTCCAACAAGTCTGTTTTAATCGGGTCAAGCTCCTCATCAAAGCTGCACAGAGCACCGCACACACCGCTGGATGTTTCTTCTTCACCTGTTCCCTGTCACAGACGCCGATAACTGAAGTCAGCAGCTGTTTGAGAGAAAGACGAGAGAGAGAAACACAAAGAGGAGCATGTGCGTGCAGCTTCCAGCGTCACGCTCGTTTGGGCTTTTCTTCTTCTGGCGTTTCCTGTAGTTACAGCGATATTTTAACCACGGGTGTGGGTGCAATTGCCGGCATTAAGTCAGTAGAAAAAGGAGCAGAATGGAAAATATTGAGAGCATCATGGCAGGATAAATTAGGCAGTGAGTGTTTGCAGTGAGATTATAGCATTTAAAGAAGTAAACAAGTGTTTGTGATGACTTCAGGGAGCCCTGAGTGTCAGACGCAGGAAGAGCTGTCGCGCTGCCTTCATGTGGAGTCTGAGCCACGAGGGAGACAAAGTGCTCCTAAAACGTCCGACAGGGTCACGGACATTCACGTGGCGATGGTCTACCTGAGGACGGAGAGCACGGGGAAGGTGTTGTTTACCTCGAGAGCACGTTGTCTCGCTGCCGGTGCTTGTCTGAATCTCAGTGATTTCTAAACGGAGAAAGCTCTCTCTGTGACTCCTGCAGTTCTCTGTGATGCAGACACCGTAAAGCTTCTCATTAACAGGAAGTAATTGTTTCCCTGCAACTGAAGCAAAATGGCAGTGATGTAGCATGGCGGCAGAGAGACGGACAACTTTTACTTCATTTATCACATCGTGCTTTCTCCGTCTGTAACTCAGTCATGGCTCAAAGAAGCTTTCGTGGTTGAATAAAAAGAAATAATCATGTCAGTCCAAATTGATTACAGCCCCTGCAGGCTCGAGACGCCCCCCCCCCCCCCCCCGAGATTAAATGAGTCCCTACTCGCCCACGGGGAGGAGGAGCTGCAGTGATGGCTTCTGTTACCTTCTACCTTTGTAATTTCAAACGACCATGAGCCACGGTAAATTGAACCAGTAACTGTGAGGTTGTGCATCCTTTCTCCACCTGGCCGACCAGTTTGATTGCTCTCACAGTGACTCCCAGAGGCTCAAATAATCCATTTATTTTCTGAGGAAATTCTAACCATTTCCCGTACAATCTAAAAGAGCAGTTTACCGAGGACACATCCACCCCCTCCGACAAAAGTTTGTAATTGAATCGCAAGGAGATGTTTAGACTTTTGCTCATCTCTGGATGGAGTCCCTCCTCAAGCAGACTTATGTTTCTTGAAGTGAAAACTCTTTTTATTCCTCGCTGGAGTCGCAATTACTCAGATGGGCTTTGGGCATGTCCTAAAAAATTAAGGTACGCTGCCTCTTCCTGTGAAAAAGCATCAAAGAGAGTTTGCAAATGTGTCTTTGTGACTGTAACAGGTGTAAATATTTCAAGTTTTAATCATCATCTACTTTTGCAACACACGCTCATCAGAAAGATATAACAGGGCGGAAGTGAGCTTCCTCTGAAGGGTGTCTGAGCTCAGCCTCGAGGATTTTGGTCCGGGTTTTTATGACGTCATTGTGACATCATTACACAGCTGAGATCTGTGACTGTGAGGCCGTCTGGGTGCAGTGAACTCATGGTCATGTTATAAAAACCAGTCTGAGCTTTGAGACATGGAGCTTTGTTATCCTGCTAAAAACACTGAAGAAGCAGCAGTTGTCCACGAGCAGAACTGAAGCAATCCTTTTCATATTCGAGACACGCAGCCAGCTTTCCCATATTAAAGTTGGAAAACCCGTCGTCTGTGGAGCATCTTCCAGCGTGTGATACTAAAGGTCATTTCAAGGAGACGGGTAAGGTGAAGTAACAGCAGCAGGATGTACAGCCTGACTTTCCAGGATTCAAATGGCAGATAATGGAATATGGATAAACAGGGCAGAGTTATCATCTGGGAAAATCAGGAAGAGGAGGAGCGAGGCTCAGTCACGGGCCAGGTGTCACACTAAGGCCGGCCTCTGCTCCGGAAAAAGCCCAAAATAAGGTTTTCAACCCAAAGCAGGCAAACTGTGCAGCTGCTGCAGGAAGGTAGCGTGCAGAATATACAGGGAGTGCAGAATTATTAGGCAAGTTGTATTTTTGAGGAATAATTTTATTATTGAAAATATTTTCAATGAACCCAAAAAACTCATTAATATCAAAGCTGAATGTTTTTGGAAGTAGTTTTTAGTTTGTTTTTAATTTTAGCTATTTTAGGGGGATATCTGTGTGTGCAGGTGACTATTACTGTGCATAATTATTAGGCAACTTAACAAAAAACAAATATATACCCATTTCAATTATTTATTTTTACCAGTGAAACCAATATAACATCTCCACATTCACAAATATACATTTCTGACATTCAAAAACAAAACAAAAACAAATCAGCGACCAATATAGCCACCTTTCTTTGCAAGGACACTCAAAAGCCTGCCATCCATGGATTCTGTCAGTGTTTTGATCTGTTCACCATCAACATTGCGTGCAGCAGCAACCACAGCCTCCCAGACACTGTTCAGAGAGGTGTACTGTTTTCCCTCCTTGTAAATCTCACATTTGATGATGGACCACAGGTTCTCAATGGGGTTCAGATCAGGTGAACAAGGTGGCCATGTCATTAGTTTTTCTTCTTTTATACCCTTTCTTGCCAGCCACGCTGTGGAGTACTTGGACGCGTGTGATGGAGCATTGTCCTGCATGAAAATCATGTTTTTCTTGAAGGATGCAGACTTCTTCCTGTACCACTGCTTGAAGAAGGTGTCTTCCAGAAACTGGCAGTAGGACTGGGAGTTGAGCTTGACTCCATCCTCAACCCGAAAAGGCCCCACAAGCTCATCTTTGATGATACCAGCCCAAACCAGTACTCCACCTCCACCTTGCTGGCGTCTGAGTCGGACTGGAGCTCTCTGCCCTTTACCAATCCAGCCACGGGCCCATCCATCTGGCCCATCAAGACTCACTCTCATTTCATCAGTCCATAAAACCTTAGAAAAACCAGTCTTGAGATATTTCTTGGCCCAGTCTTGACGTTTCAGCTTGTGTGTCTTGTTCAGTGGTGGTCGTCTTTCAGCCTTTCTTACCTTGGCCATGTCTCTGAGTATTGCACACCTTGTGCTTTTGGGCACTCCAGTGATGTTGCAGCTCTGAAATATGGCCAAACTGGTGGCAAGTGGCATCTTGGCAGCTGCACGCTTGACTTTTCTCAGTTCATGGGCAGTTATTTTGCGCCTTGGTTTTTCCACACGCTTCTTGCGACCCTGTTGACTATTTTGAATGAAACGCTTGATTGTTCGATGATCACGCTTCAGAAGCTTTGCAATTTTGAGACTGCTGCATCCCTCTGCAAGATATCTCACTATTTTTGACTTTTCTGAGCCTGTCAAGTCCTTCTTTTGACCCATTTTGCCAAAGGAAAGGACGTTGCCTAATAATTATGCACACCTGATATAGGGTGTTGATGTCATTAGACCACACCCCTTCTCATTACAGAGATGCACATCACCTAATATGCTTAATTGGTAGTAGGCTTTCGAGCCTATACAGCTTGGAGTAAGACAACATGCATGAAGAGGATGATGTGGACAAAATACTCATTTGCCTAATAATTCTGCACTCCCTGTATATAACTCCTTTTTTTTTTTTTTTCTCTCAGAATGAGATCCAGTAAGAGTGTTGCTAAAGTACCCACTGATGCAAAAAAAGTAGAGTAGAGTAGAATAGCCCTTTATTGGCATTGTGCATTTACAATGAAATTATGGGTGCTCCACACCAACTGTGCAGGAATCAAATATAAACAGTAGACAGCTGGGATAAATGCCTGACCAGAGCAATGTATACAATGCAGTATAACCTTTGTTTTCCCTCCCAGAGGCCAAATCAATCTGAGCGTGTGTCTCTGGAGTGGCGCTCATGGGCGGAGAACTTTTTGGCTCTGGCTCGTTGATAACGCAGCACAGACTTCTTTAAGCTAATGACTGCTTTCACAGTTTGAGCCGTTTTCTCTGTGGAGTTTAGTCTTCTGCCAAAAAAGGCAACTTTAACTTATGCAGACTTCGGTTATTCCCAGTGAAACGGCCCGGGAGTTACTGAGCACACCGAGCCACCCCCGACATCTTTAATGAGGTGCGGTCCACCGAGCGACAGACAATCAGAGAGCCCGCCTGCCTGCCGCCGCCACGGGCTTGCTTTCCTCTCTGGGAAGTGTTTGCCAGTGGCGCTGGTACCCTCTGACTCCCTGTGGAGAAAGTAGACCAAAGCCCTCCCAAAAGTCTGATCCCACCTCGGAGCATCACCACTGCTGGACGCAGCTGAAGGTAGGGGGTCCATCTCTCATTTAAAAGCTTTTGGCTCAGTTCACAGGCTCCCGCTGACGGGCTAAAAGCCACCGCACCCCCATTTTTCTTCTGGCTGTGAAACCAGCCTGGCCTTCCCAGTGTCTGTTGATGCTGGTGGGTTTAAATAGAAAGTTATACACATATTCCAAACTGACGCTGTCTGAACAGAGGGTAATGGCACTGAGATGCACTGATGCTGTACGCTCTGCAGCCCTACCTCTACACCTGAGGGGGTGTGGTTAAAGGCATGACGAGGTCAGCACAGAAGGGAGAGACCTTGTCATGCTCTCTTGGCTGTTGTTGTTATTGAGTCATTTAAAATGAAAATTTTAGTTGGTATCTGTGACTCTGCTCTGTTTTGGTTTTATGTGGAAGGATGTTCTCTGACTCTGCTTTTCTCACCTGTGGAGTGTTCCTGCAGGGTTCAGTGCTGGGTCCAGTTGTATTGTTTTTCTTTTTCTGGAATTTCTTTTAATGTCTATGCCATGACACTGTGCTGTGCATGTTTTTAAGCCTCAGCAGACGGGTAGGCTGCCCACTCTGGTTGAATGTTTGTTTTGGATTGATGATTAATAATTTCCTTGTTTTAAACTCTGTAAACTGAGCCCATGATTATCGCTCCTCCTGATGTACTATGTAAGAATCAGTCAGGTGATTGCTTCCTTCCTGCACAGTGTTCATAAACATCATGTAGTATTTGATTCGTCTTTGAACTTTGACTCTGTAAGCCTTATGTCACCTTCCTGTTTATTTACAGAATAAATGTAAGCTATAGGGGGTGTCCAAATTCATGGGCTGCATCCTCCTGAGGCCGCATTTGTAGGCCGATTTCGTCACAGTGACGCAACAAAGGCTGTATCCCAATTCGGGGTCTGCAGCCTTAAAGTACACAGCCTTAACGGTCCACAAGGGCCGCATACTTAAAGACCGCTAAGGCCGGAAGTGCGAGGCTTGTGAAATGGGACGGTCTAGCCTTCGTTGTGCTGCCCAGGTTGCCTAGCAACCATGATACTAACAGCTGGAAACGTTTTATACAGCTTTGTTTCGACAGAAATGAAGGAGAAAATCTTTTGTTCATTTGTTTGTTTGTTTCTACATGAGCTTTGATCATTCTCTGTAAGATTAAGGTCAGCTATTGAACGGCGTATATTTTAAAGCAGCGGTCCCCAACCCCCGGGCCTTGGACCGGTACCGGTCCGTGAGTCGTTTGGTACCGGGCCGCGAGAGTTGAGGCTCAGGTGTGAAATGTATGGTTTTCAGGGTTTTTATCGGTTTTCAGCGTTATTTTGTTATCGTTTTTATCGTTTACTCGGTTTTCCTGGGTCTTTTCACGTGTGTTATGAATAAATCTTCTTTTTCGGTACCGGTACTAGTTTTATTTTGTTGTATTTATCCGCGACACCTTAAAGGCCGGTCCATGAAAATATTGTCGGGCATAAACCGGTCCGTGGCGCAAAAAAGGTTGGGGACCGCTGTTTTAAAGTAAAGGCTTTAAAACCAAGTTAGTACAAACGTCACTAATGTCACATAAC